ATTTGCAGGGTGCAGTATCTGCTCATATTTTTCAAAGATCTTTCCTGAAAAAAAAAGTGAGTTTATTTTCCTTAAAGGGAAGAACTTCTGACATGAAGTCTACTGCAAGGATCAGGGCTGGCAGGGTAGATTGTATCTGTTTATTTTCTAGAGAAAGAAAACATCCGAAACATCAAGAGTGTGAGAATACCAGGTAATTTGTCTTTCTGGTGTTAATAGTTTTGCTAAAAAAGCTATATAGAGTTAAACTGGGAACTTGATGATTTAAAATTATTTAAAAGAAAGCAAATACAAGAGTCATTAGAGATCTTGTCTTTCCCTGTGGAATATGAGACTGTACTGCTGAGAGGCATGTGTAGGCCCGAGGAAAGGTAGTCAGCCTCTTGCTCGTTCGGCAAGGGGTCAACAACAGACAAGAGACGTGACATAATTATGAAGCATACGTCATTGTTCCCATGTGACATAAATTCCAGGGAGATAAATTTTGTTTCTAAACTCTGAGGGTCTTGGAAAGATGTCACAAATCACAAGGGGAAATAGGACATACATTTGAAGGCTGTATACTCACAGAGTGATGGTCTTTCCTCGCTCACAGGGAAATAACACCCATCTCTTAGACCTGACTTGCTGCTGCCTCTCTTTTTTATCCCTCTCCAGTCATTTCAGGAAAAAAAAAAAAAAAGAAAAGAAAAAGAAAAAAAAATATCTGCCACACGGAGCAAGATTCCAGCTGTCGCTGGGTTAAAGCTGCTGAGGTGCACTGCTCCAGCAAAGGCCCGTGCCTGGCTGTTAGGCCACGGGCAGGCGCCAGCCACCTCACCACAGCGGAGCAGGGTGCTCCTCCCCGTGCTTTGTGGGGTTGGCTCTTGGCACAGCTTTCCCCCAACACTTCACAGCAAAAAGAGGAAACCTTTATAATTTACCTCACAAATTGTGCAGGGCTAGTGCTGAAAATGAGGTGAGTGGTGGTCGCTTCCTGGCACCCAGGGACTGAAGCAGAAATCAAGTGTCTCCTTTACTTTACAGAGTTACCAGTAAAATCATTTCAGGGAAAAAAAAAATGATGCTGCTTTTAAATTTAGCAAAAATAAATGCTGTTGGTTTTTCCTCATCTCTCCTCACCTTCTCTGAGCCTAGTGCCCCACGAGAGTCAGGTTTGGGATGTAATTTATAAAACTTGATGGTATTTCCTTCCTGCTAATCATTGCACATGAGAGACGGCAGGATAGCTTCCTCACTCTTATCTTAGTACCGTTTTCCCCTCTTACCAAAGTTTACTGCAGTGAAAACTTAATTCCTTGGTATAAAATAGTATTTATTTTCTATGAGAATCACAAGCAGCTGTAGATAACCAAAGATCCAGGTATTTTTATGTTACAGCTAGAAGTATACTGATAATCTTTCCAGCTCAGCAATATGAAATTAAAGTTCCAAATCCTTCTGTTGCTTTATTTTTTTCCCCACTGTAACATCAAATTGGCTGGTGATACGATACTCGCAGTGTAAGTCATTACAGGTCTGACGTTACAGTTGTTACACATTGCTGAATCTGTCAAATGAAAAGGGAGCACAAAGGGAATTTCCAAATGCAGCTGCTATTTCCCATTTGTTAAATCCTTTTATTACACCATATAAGTACACAGCTGGGAAATACTATAGAGTGGGAGTTAAAACAAAATATTTTGGCTTCCAGACATTCAGAATACACAAAGGACTCCGTGGAAAGCAATGCCTGATATCAAAAGGGAGTGAAAGTTTGAAAACATTTCTAGTCAGCCTGTTGTTTTTATGATAATACACAATGTAGTTTCAAGGTATCTTATACCACAGAAAGTGGTGCATACAATAAATGTTGGGAAAAACCTCAATAATTTTTAGTCATTTTTTCCAACTGCAATATCTTTCTTTGTGCAAGATCCATGCAGCCCTCAGCATGTTCTGGTGCATACTACATGCTTGCACAAATTCCAGGGAACTCTTTGGTAGTTTTAAGGGCACAAAGCAGGCAGGATTGAAACCTTAATTAGGTACCACTTTAAAAAAAAAAAAAAAACTTTTTTTTTTCCTATTCATACATCAACACAATTTTTTGCTACCCATATGTCAACACAGAACTCTTTGCATTTATTATCGTGTAACTGGACAACACACATTATCAATGCATTTTAACAGCAGCAGCACTGTCCTTTTTTAATTTTTTTTTCAGTGTAAATGGTACGAGCAGGTGCTTCTTCAAATCTGCTTTGAAAAGATCCATCTGTGAAAGGTCAAAAAGCACCTGCCTCCTGGGAGTTTGGTTTTATTAAGAAGAAAAGTGGTCACTATTGAAGTACCTACCTCAGAAGTGTCCACCCTCCTTGCAGAATTCCTCTTTCTGCAGTGAAACTCCTACTC